ACTTACTTCATTTCATGAAATCGAGAAATTAAATCGTATGTTCAAATTTTTGTTTTTATTAGTTTGTGGAATCTTCCATATTTGCCTTTAACCCCTTTCAGAAAGATGTATTCTTCTCTAAAAAGCCTTAAAACAAACATCTCATTTCTGCAAATTCAACCGTCTATTGGTTAATAAACACCAAATTGTAGCAAAGTTCTAGCTGAACCCTATTTCCCGCTGAGCTCTGTGGAGCCAATTCTGCTACACAAAAGTCTATAAAAATAACCACATGACTCAATTCAGACAGTCAGTCATTGAGTTTCATGAGATGCTACCAAACTCCACACGTATCAATTCACTGACTCACACACCACATTGAAATCAAATTCAGCAAGCATTCATCAACCATTGTTTGCATGTCAATCAACATCTACAATTGATTTAAAAAGTGAACATTTTCACTACTAAAAAAGTAATTGTACACTTCACCAATTTAGCCTAAAGGCAAGCAACTCTTGACAACATTTATCCTTACTTCTAAATTACGCACATACACACACTGATAAATAAACGAATACATTTGACATCTTTCTTTGCAGAAATCAATTATTTTAATTTTTCTAACAATCAAAAAGCATCAACATTTCTTAACCAAATTTTTGCATAAACATTCTTTATAACATTATCTTAGTTATTACAACAAACATTTTGATTGTCATTGCATGTGTATTTATTATTGTTGATATAAAAAAATTTCTTTGTTACATCTCTAACAACTGTGTTTAGTAATTTCTTGCCATGCAAATTGTCCTTAAATTGTTTGTGTAATCTATATGTTGTGGGATACTGACATAAGCACGCATAATCTTCGTCTTACATAAATTTACCTACTGATACATTTCACTGTGTACATCCTGCAACAAGTTAAAACTAGGGCTCCTTGGAGAATATAAATCATCATAAATATAATATATATATATATTTAAAAGGAAGAAGTTATAGTAGTTCCAACAAGAGAAAAGTGTGTAAAAAGAAGAGAGAAACCGCAAGCGTTTTTGGCTGTAATGTGGATTTTTTTTTTTTTTGGGGACGTCCACCACTTCGCAAAAAAATAAGCATAGCTAGCATGAAGAAAAAAAAAGCTCCTAACTTGATAAAAAAAATTTTTAACGTCTAAATGTTTATGTTACTATTAAGATGAAAGACCAAAGTATTTTCTGAATATTTTTTCAGATTTTTTAATCCTTCCTATAATTTTAAAAATTTTGTTTTTTCTCGATTCAAAAAAATTTTGTAAATTCGGCCTTATAGGCCCTTTTGTCTGACTTTGTAAACAAAATCAAAGTTAGTTAGTTTAAAAATCCTGTAAAATTTAATTACACATTTTTCTTCTGTTATTTTAGGATAATTAGAAAATTTAAAGTATACTTAATGTAATTTGAAATAAACATTACTTACTTTTTTTTTATCAGAAATTTTTTTCAGAGAGACATTTCCAACCGTGGGTGGTGCTTGCTTTTGCGCGTGTTTGAGAGGTGTTAACTGATGTACGTCAATATATCGACAACTTATGCCAGGGGAATTTATCGGACGGTAGGGCAGAAGTGATATATTTCGTTCTAATTTTAAGTGAAGCTGGTTAGTGTATAAAATACACTTCCAATTTTTTTTTTTTTTTTTTACTTTACGTTTGCGGTTTGAGGGAGAGGGATATTAACCTTTTTTATTTTTGGAAAATCAGAAAGCCTGTAAATCATAATCAAACTATATATCAGGCATTAAAATTGAGTTTGAAAGGAAACAACTTTCCTAGGGGCGGGGGTAATTTCAATTATATGGCCGCGGGGGGGTTAAAAAAAATTGACACCCGGCCACGGAAATCTTTAGTAAAAGGCGAAAGTTTTATCTGCAATTCCTAACTACCAGAAACCAGTAGCGATAAGGAAAAATTAAGCCAAATTGACTTTGATATATTTGGGTCAGAGGCCAGCCAGCCAGCTAGCAATATGTAAAAACCCACCACTCTCAGATAAGAACAAAGAGTGAACAAAAAAAAAAAAAAAAAAAAAAAAAAAAAAAGAGGGGTCAACACTGGGATCAACAATAAGTTTTTTTGTTGTTTTCTTTTTCAAACTGACAACACATCAAGCCATTTTTCAAACTGACGTTTGAAAAATGGCTTGATGTGTTGTGTTTTGTTTTTTTAAGACCTGGGGAGATGACAACAACACTTAGCAAATAACATTCTTTTTTTCGCCGCATGTCTTTCATATGACAAAAATAAAAAACGTTTTAAACAGCTGTATCAGTTATTTCTGAGAATCAAAGCCATTGCGCTGTTTTCATGCCCATTGAATATAAAATAATAAAAAAAAGGAAATAATATTTGCAGTTTGTCTCACACTGAAAGAAAAAGGAAAAATTGTTTATATTTGAAAATTGAAAAGAAAAATTTTGAAAATGCGACGATATTCAGTCAGAAAACTTGACAAGCGTTGTTGTGTTGCTAACTGAACGAATGCAAAGCAATTTCTGAAAAATAACTTGCTTCTAACAAGGGAAACTACTCACGTGACATTTCAAAGCTGTGCATCCATACTTTCGTTGGAGACGATTTTAAATACAATATTGGAATATTAAAAAATTATTTTAAAAATATCAACGGTTGTCAGATTTTAATAAGCTTTCAAATTTATGATCTTCAAAAAGTAGATCACATATTTCCATAAGGTTTCATAAAGAAACTTAATTTTAAAATATATAACAACCTTTTGTCATATGTATTTAAAATTGAAAAAGAAAAAAATTATTGTAAAAATTCATTTTTCATAAAAAAAAATGTTTTTCTTTCAGATAAAAATCACATTAGTATATGTTATTCAGAAAAGCCATTAAAAGCTTTTTTTTTTAATTAAATATTGTCTTAGTTTCATTGGGTTTTGTATTTTTACAATTGAGGTAAAAGTTTGGACAATTTTGCGCATTTTTTTACCAAATAAATCGATGATTTACATTCTTCAGTCTTGTGCATTTAATTAAAGAAAAATTAAGGTTGCAAAAAAAAATTGTTGAAGTTTTCATAAAATTAAGTTCTGGGGGCGGTGGTAACAGATATTAAAAAAAATATTTATACCATGACTTTCGAAAAGACAAACATTTCTAAAATAATTTCATTCATTTGTGAATAAGTTCTGAAGGTTTCATTAGATTCCAACAAGTACTTGATTTTTGCCAGATTTTCCAAATCAATGTTTTTCAACTGAAAACTGAAAAACCAACTAATGCTAAATATTACCTAATCGCTGACCTAAAAAAAAAAAAAAACAAGATTTTCAACCTAAATTTAAAACATGCTGCAAAGGAATAAAAAATTTTGAAAAATACTTTGGTCTTTCCTCTTAATAATAACAAACTTTTTCACGATAGAATTTTGTTTTTATTAAGTTTGGGGCTTTTTTTCTTCATGCTATGCGTTTTTTGAGTGATGACACGGACATGATGCTTTATTTTTTTTTTAAATCCACATTACAACCAAAAACGTTTGCAGTTTCTCTCTCCTTTTTACCAAGATTTTTTAAAACAAAAAAAATTCAAAAATATTTTCATTCATTAGTCACAAGTGAATACTAAATAAGTTCTGAAAGTTTCATTAAAATCCGACAATTATTTGATTTTTGCAAGAATCTCCAAATCAATGTTTTTCACCGGAAAAAAACGCAAAACACTTCATTGTAAAAATTACTTACGTCGCAGACAAAAAAAAAACGAATTTGTAACCAAAATTTCGAACGTGTTAGAAAGGTTTAAAAATTTAAAAACAATTAAAAATACTTTGTTTTTGTCTTTCCTTTTAATAATAACAATATTTTGACGATAAAACTTTGTAATTAAGTTTTGGCTTTGGGCCTTTTTTCATCATGCTGTTTATAAGCGAAAGTTGGACGTGCCTATAAAAAATATATAAAATTAAATTTAAAAAAAAACTATTACTTTTTTTTCAAAATAATAAACAAAACAAATTAGCCAAATGGGTTTTTTGTTTTTGTTATTTCCTTTTTAATTCACAATGCCTACCTTGGGTGAAGTAAAAACTGTATTGAAAAGTCGACTTTTATTTAAAAATTAAATCTTTTTTTTTTTTTTTTTTTTTTTTCATTTCCCACATTAAATCCTGATCTAGTCTCACATTCTGTTACGTGGATAAATAAACACACTAAGTTTTCGTATTTTAATTTAAAAAATGTTGACTTTTTTTCTCCAACTTGATCTCATGATATTTTAAATCGCAGGAAATACGCGTGAAAAAAAAAAAGTAAAAGAAAGAACATTATTATGCTTAGCTTATTAATTGAGAAACAAAAAAAAAAAAAGAAAGACTGACAAATTTTATTTTGAATTGATAGAACGTGAGGAAAAACATTTGAGAAGAATTTACAAACACTGAAATTAAAATAATTATTATATTTTAATTTAATTTATGGAAAATATCATATTCTTTATCTTTTACGAAAAAGATTTTTCTTGAGAATAAGAAAGGTAAAAAAGAAGTTGTTTTGGTTTTCGGATCCGTCTGAGAACATTCCTAGTTCTGTGAAGTAAGTAAGTATTATTGCCATACACACGAAAATTTCTGGTATGTGACAAAAAACAAAACCATTCTCTTTTTGTTTTGTCCACTGTATTTTATTTTCAGGCAGCTACTTTCGATGAAAGCTATTTTGTACACAAAATAAGAGCTACGATTTTTATCAAGGTCGAGATCATATGACAATTTTGTCAATTACTAAGATTTGTTTGTTAAATCCTAGTTTAATTTTGACCGGTGGTACTGTAATTTCGCACTTCATCACTTACGTTAGTTTTTTTTCTTAGCGTAAAAAAATATTGTTTGTATATTTTTAAATTAATAATTCTTACGTTTCTTAAAAATTTTTGAAAGAAAAACAAACAAACGCAGAAACATTGATAGATTTTTAAATTTTTAAAGAATCATTAATTAAAACTAAGAGTATACTTACCTCTTGAAATCCCATAGCAAGTAAACAATTAAATGCCCCATTAATAGGCAAGATCTTGTTCTGCATCACTTTGCTACTAATCCTCAATCGACGATACTTTAGCACATTTGGTTGAGTCACAATGTTTGTACAAATTCTTAATAAAACTTTATACGTGGCTTGAGCTTCTTCATGAGTACAGTTACTAATCTGATCTAAGAATTCATACCTTCCACGTTGAGACATGCCTTTTTTGAGCTTCTGACCTGAACACTTTTTACTAAAAAAAAAAAAAAATTTTGGTTGAATCTATAAATATTTTAAAGAAAAGAAGATATTCAACAGTCATCAATCAAACAGTCATAATTGTTATCGTCACCAAAGGGAAAATTTTTAGTTTCTTTTGCTAAAGGGAACAAACTCTAACGGTGTACTGGTTGGGGAAATAACTCGGCATCAGTAAATGGCGCTCAAATTATGTTGGTTCGAAAAGTGTTTATGTTGCTTTTAACAAATTGAGCTTAGTTTTTAGTTCAGCATGATACCAAACGAAGAGATAGGAATATTAGCGTCTACCTTGAAAATTACTAAAGCGTTGGTTCGTGAATTTGGTGATATTTCTGAGTTCAATCCCTGATGAGGGCGGCGTGTATTTTAGGTACCACCCCCAAAAATGGATTTTTTCCCGAAATAAAAGTAAATCGCTACGCACTGTTTTAAAATATTTGCCAAAAATCAAGGAAGTATCCGATTTAAACAGAATTTGCAGTACTTATTCATTAATGAACGAACTGTATACTGATTAGCTTACTTTATTATAAAACCTCATCTCAGAAATATAGACAGATATAAAACTTAGTGTAAATATTTTTTTTTAAATTACTTGTAATTTTTAAGTGCGATTTTGAAATTAATTCCACTGCTGTTAGAAGAGTTTTTATTTTTTTTTATTTAGTTTTTTTTTTATATAAAAACGTGATTGAAGAATTCAAAAATGTAAAGTTTAACGCCATTTTTAAGAGTGAATATTTTTTTTAAAAGAGTTTTAATTCTTTCTTTTTTTCATCATCATCGCTTTTGGTATGGATACTCTCTTTTAATCATGTGAGAGAACACTTTTTGCCTTTTATCACCATGGCTGATGATAATCTCCAAGAGAGTGACTCATTGCTAACATTTTCCACTTACATGATGTGGAGGGATTATATAGAAACAATCGTTAGGTCTGCTGCTAGGAAAGTTAATCCTTAAATTTCCTAAATGACCTCCGAACATATCTCTAGGATAAATATTAGATTTTTAAGAGATTTTTAAATTTGTTGTTTACAATTTCATCTATAATAGAAGTTCGATGAGTCGACAAGTGACGAAAACTAATGTTTTAAAAATACCTACAAAATTCTTTATATTGTGCTGTTTCTTATTTTATTTTCCACACACACAATAAAAATTAATTCACACCACGTGTATCAAAAAATACAATTGCGCGGGAATTCATTCCTTACCATGCCCTGTGGGGTCAAAAACAAGAACGGCGCACCCAAAAGTTCGGACGTAGTGAAAAGCACACCACGTGGTCAAAAATAGGATTTATTGACCAATCAGGACTCGACATAAGAAACCCATTTCTTAATCTCCCCGGAGCCTCATCATTCTTATATAAGGAAGGTAGAAACTCTCATCAGAACGGAGAGAGAACAGCGACAAGCTGACATCAAAGCGACACGGACAGTTTCGAGCACACACACACCGAGAGGATTCAGCGTTTCACACAACAGGCAGTATCACGTATCAGTGAACATTCTTTCACCCTCTCTTTCTCTCATCTCGCTCGCTACACATAGGCCTACCTTTCCCTCTCACATTCCCAGTTCCTTTCTTTCTCATTTTCTTCCGCAGCTTTACGGACAATTTCATTTTTGTACAAGGAAAAAAATAATTCTTTACAAAAATAAACAAAAGTTTATTTTACTTTATTTGTAGTGTATTTTCTTTTTATTATTTGTTTGAGGGACTTCTTTGCACCCTCTACAATATACAGAATTTTTTTTTTTTAATTCAGATTATCTTTAGGCTATTATGTTTCAAATAAAACCAAAATTTAAGTTCAAAGATGGCATCTAAATTATTTAAAATGCCTTTTTAGGAAGTCCGTGGCAGTACCTAGCATGCTTGGACTTTTAGCATCCTGCTACCACTTTTCTAACAATGTCAATTTTTGTACAATTCTGTGCAAAAAGTGGATCACAGAGCCTTGATATTTTTTCTCACCTCTCATTGGTTAGTTAATATTGAAATCATGTTCTCGCCTACGTCCGTACAACGCCTACGCGTTATTCAAAACCATTTTTCTGCCAAAAATCAGAAATGCTCTTTCGAGCCGATCACGTGATTACGTTGATTATAAATACCAGACACAATTTCGTTCTTTCTCTCTCTTCTCTTTTTGATTTCTCTCGATTACTAAAATGTAGCTGTTTAAGAAATCGCGTTTCGACCCCTTGCGGGCGGACTCTATGAAAACATATTCACACTCGCACACATACACGTGTTAGGATTGCTATGAGTTTGAATTTGGTATCAGAAGGTTTTTATATTAAGATGGTTAGTTTACGGGCATGTTCACCATATTAATCCGCAACAATATAGAATATAGATATGCAAAAAACGAATCAATCACGAGGCAATTGGGTAAGAAACACCGATTATGAGATTTCAATAAAACAACATGCATTTATGTACAATTAATATACAATTTGAGAATACAATTGAGTTGAACTTTAAATGGATAAATGAGAATAGATGTATTTGGCTGCGTAGAATATTATTGTGAATGTTTGAAGGTGTTTACAATTGCTATTCAGATTTGTTCATAAAGTTAAACTAAGTGTCCAGTTACGTACTAAATTGTCCTTTGTGCTAGTTCAGTTATTAGTGTGTACGTAAGTTTGTTTGTATAATTGGTAGGAGTTGCGTACCTTTAGTTGTGTGAGAATTTGATTGTTTGTTTACTAATACTTATTAAGTAGTGAGAAAAAAATGTCACTTTTTAAAGTATCGTAAGTGATGTTTGGATATAGTTCTTGAGAGAGATAGAGTGTGCTTGTGGATTGTTGAGTCAGATATTTTGCGCGGCAAAGTCCTGGTTGGTCAGAGTTTTGACTTGCGTGGAGCAGTTTGGCATCTCTCTAGGAATGAAGATCTGATTGGTGAATTGGACTGAAATTCGCCCTTTTATTTGTTTTGGGAAACCAAAGTAGGCTCCAACGACCTGGCGGGAAAACAGATTTTTGACCATGGATACACATTCTAGGGTCGTCTCGACCAATAACAAGCCGAGTTTCACAATGTGTGGTGTTGTTTGGTCAAAGCTAATTCTTATAGAAGAGTCTATTTTTAACGGGGGTGAGTAGACAAACATTGATGATTCTACACACGTACGTACGGAAACTTAATTGCAAACATAACGAACATTACGGAACATTACAAGCATAAACATATTACGGATATTCAACTACAAGCAACGGAAACTAATTAAACATTACGGAACATTCACTCCTTCAACTCTTCTGAAGCTAAAAGTTTATTAACATATTCTCAGCTTTCCAGAATTCTTTCAACTCTCATAGTGAACATTTTAAGCGAAAAGTTCATTCAACTTTTTATGAGCTTATAGGATACAAATCCTATATTCCAACAAATGACTAAAAAAAAAAAACACGAAGTAGATTTGCACACCCGCAAAATCGGATCAAAACGACCAAAAACAGATTTCACAATAAGGTGTGAAATTAATTTTCTGACCAATGAAAGGAGGCGATTTGCTAAACCAAAAAAAAAAAAGATAACGAGCCAGTGTGAAAAAAAAGTCAACAATAAATACAGAGTTTTCAAGTCAGTCGCCAGTCAGCCAGTCAGTCAGAGAAAGGCTCAAAAGATCACAGAAGATTGACAGTAAATTTCATCACTGACTCAACCCGAAAAGTGGAGTAGGAAGGAACAACAACATCAACAACAACAACAACAACAAATTTACAACTGACTCCAAAACAATTCATACGTACATTTTCCTTTCATCTTTATTCCACATTCACACTCTTTTTTTTAAACTTAAATTGCTCGCCCCTTTTTCATTTTACAACTATACAAAACAAAAGAAACAGACATTATTCTGCTACTCTGTTAAAAGACAGCGAACACAGACATTTTTATCAAAATCACATTTTTGCTTAAACGAACTAAAACATTAATCTTTTTTACTCTATTCACAATATAATAAATATACAATGTTCTATTTTTTATAAACGTTCCTTATCGTGTTGTTTCTTCTTGAAATTTGCGTTGTATTTTGTGGGCAGGGTATCCCGTATTAAATTCTCCTTTAATCCGGGTACGCTGAACCCCCACAAGTTCAGATAAAAAATATTTTCTTAGTAAGACTTTAATTCCAATCAAAGGGAATTCCTATTAATTATGTTTATATATCATTGATATAGATAAATACGAATATTCTTGTTATAAAACCGTTTTGTGTTCCTTCTTATTGTTTCATATTTTGTGGTATTTTGCGTAAATATACATTCGAGAGGTTACACCAACAGGATTAACAGACTCGGTAGAAATAAGGCGAGCAATCAATGAGCAGTAAAAACTAAACGAGATATCTCCTTAGATATGTAGGATGTGTAAAATAACTACCATGGCAACGGTAGTAGTAATTCTCAACGAGATGCAAATACAAAAAAAATATAGCTGTTTACATAACATTGGACGAGGCAACTTATGTATGCCTGTGGGAGTCTCCAATTATTTAATGATATGTACCATTTCTACACGACATGATCCTCCATCCCCTGGTGACAGGACGGATTGACGTGGTCAGTTGAAGGTTTACGCCATTTAAGTGCGAGACTGTCATATTTTGGGGATAAATCTCCGCGATTCTATCTTGTTTTCGTCCACCGACGAGGATAGAATAAGGGCCATCTTGATTCTTGGATCTGAACAGAATCGCCAATTTGTAATTCCCAAAACGA